CCAAAAGAAGCTCCTGGCTCCTGGCTTCAAATCGGCTCAGCTTCAGCTGTTGCAACCATTTGGGGAATGAACCAGCAGATGGAAGACCTCGCTCTCTCTGTCTCTACCTTTCTCTGTAACTCTGTCTTTCAAAGAAATAATAAAAATAAATATTTAAAAAACCCTTAAGACAACACTTGCCTCATCAGAATACATTGCTTTTCAAGTGCACATAAGCATTTATCAAAATGGATCTTATGTTGGGCCATAACACAAACTCAACATATTTTTAAAATTAAAATCATGCAGAAAATGTCCTTAGGCCATTTGGAATCACATTAGAAACTAATAACAGGAAAACACAACTATTTATAAATGACCCATAGGTCAAAGGAGAATCCCAATGGAAATTAGGAAATATTTAAATAAATCATGAAAATACAATATCCAACTTTAGTGTGACACAGCTGAAACAGCACTTAGAAGGAAATTTATTACAAGAAAGGTTAACAATTATTGGTCTAAACTTTCATCTCAAGACCTGGGGAAAGAAGAGCAAATTAAATTCAAAGTAATAAAAGCATTGAAATAGTAAGTGACTTGGGGCCAACGTCATGGTTTAGTGGATAAAGCTGCGGCCTGCAGTGCCAGCAACCCATATGGGTGCCAGTTCGAGTCCCAGCTGCTCCACTTCTGATCCAGCTCTCTGCTATGGCCTGGAAAAGCAGTATAAGATGGCTCAGGTCCTTGGGCCCCTGCACCCACGTGGGAGACCCAGAAGAAGCTCCTGGCTCATAGCTTCAGATCAGCCCAGCTCCAGCCGTTGTGGCCATTTGGGGGAGTGAATCAGCGGATGGAAGATTCTCTCTCTCTCTCTCTCCTTACTGTAAATCTACCTCTCAAATAAATAAATAAAATCTTTAAAAAAAGGAAATAAAATATGAAAGGATGACCTACAGAACGGGGGATAATATTTGCAAATCAATAGACATATATCTAGAATATAGTTGTATACCCTCAGCTCTCATATCTGTTAAAAAATTAAATCTGTTATTAGAAGCATTCCCATAAAGAAAGCTCCAGATCAAGTGTTTCATATATGAATTATTCCAAACATTTAAGGAAGAAATCATACAAATTGTAAATCTTTTTTTTTTTAGAAAATAGAGAATAAAGCACTTCAAAACTTGTTTTATGAGGCCAGCATAACCTGTATGCCAAATTCTGACCAAAAAAAAAATTACAAGAAAATAACAGGTCAATTTCTCTCAGGAACCTAAACACAAAAACAAACAGAAAAACCCTAAACACCTAAACATCATTGTAGACAATTGAATACACTCAAATATATATAAAAAATGACTACTAAGAGGAGTTTATTCCAAAGGCACAAATTTTGGATTAACATTTAGAAGTATGAAGTTCAATTAACACGTATATGAGGAACAGCACAAGACCATGTTAATAGATCCAGAAAAACATTTGACCCCAATTAATACCCTTTCAAGAAAACAAACAAACAAACAAACATAAGACCTCAGCAAAGCAGAGGTAGACACAGCTTGTTAGTCAGTGCAGACCCCCAAGTGTATCTGCCTGATGTGCGCCACCCCCAGGGTCATGCGCTACAGTCACACTGAAGGGAAGGGCTGGAATGTTTGCCTGAACAACACCTAGCAGGTGGTGGGCAGACCTGGGAAGAACCTGAGTCCTTAAGTGACCAAGAGTGTCAGAGCCTGCTTCACTTCCCTGGACCATTTACATTAGCATCGTTGTGTTAGAGAAACTTAAAAATAGTTGTTCTTTTGTAAAATTTTCAGCTTATTTATTTTCACTTTATTTGAAAGGACTAGAAACAGAGAGGCAGAGACAGAGAGGAAGAGATCTTCCATCCACTAGTTCATTCCCCAAATGCCCACACTAGCTAGGGCTGGGCTAGAGTGAAGCCAAGAGCCTGGAACTCCACCCAGGTCTGTCACATTGGTGGCAGGGACCTGAGGACTGAGCATTACATGGTGCTTCCCGGTGTGTGCATTAGTGGGAAGCCGGGTTGAAAGTGGACCAGCGGCCGTCGCCGCGGCTCAATAGGCTAATCTTCCACCTAGCGGTGCCGGCACCCCGGGTTCTAGTCCCAGTCGGGGCGCCAGATTCTGTCCCGGTTGCCCCTCTTCCAGGCCAGCTCTCTGCTGTGGCCCGGGAGTGCAGTGGAGGATGGCCCAAGTGCTTGGGCCCTGCACCCCATGGGAGACCAGGAGAAGCACCTGGCTCCTGCCTTTGGATCAGCGCGGTACGCCGGCCACAGCGCGCTGGCCGAAGCGGCCGTTGTCGGGTGAACCGACAGCAAAAGGAAGACGTTTCTCTCTGTCTCTCTCTCTCACTGTCCACTCTGCCTGTCAAAAAAAGAAAAAAAAAAAGTGGACCAGCTAGTACTTGGACCAAGCCCTCTGAGACGGAGGGTAGGCATCCCAAGCATAACTTAGCCACTAAGACAAATGCTTGCTCCAAAATATCTTTGTTCTGGGTGTGTCTTTTTTGCCAAAACAGCTTTGCTATACCTCTACTGATGCAGAAGTTAGCATGCAATATGAAACAGAAGAAATTTCAGTTGAAAATAAGAATATTTGAGGGACTGGTGCTGTGTTGTAGCCGGTAAAGCTGCAGCTGCTCCACTTCTGATCCAGCTCTCTGCTGTGGCCTGGGAAAGCAGTAGAAGATGGCCCAAGTCCTTGGGCCCCTGCACCCAGGTGGGAGACCTAGAGGAAGCTCCAGGCTCCTGGCTTCGGACTGGCACAGCTATGGCTGTTGTGACCATTTGGAGGGTGAACCAGCGAATGGAGGACCCCCCCCTTTAATTCTGCCTCTCAAAAATAAATAAATATGTATATTAAAAAAATTTAATGATTGTGTTGGCCATGTAACAAAAATGTTTCCCCAAGGATGTTACAGAACCTCTATCCTGTATAGATCTTCGTGAAGAGGGTTGAGTCCCCTTGTAGTGATAGTGGGGTCTGTCTGCTTAGCAGTGTAAATTCTAGCATTTGCTAGAATAAAAATCATTGCTTTATGTTGCTGTATGTCACAGTCCCAAATCTTAGGGTCCTTGAACACACTTGGAGCTGTGCTGATTTATTTCTTTGGATAGGTAGGCTTCATGCGTTTATATTCATTATAATCCCCAAGCTACTTGACCTCATTTCTACTCTATTCCTTTTCGTTTCCTTTTTCCACCTCTTTCCCTGCTCTGGATTGAGTCCTGTCCCTCTGCCCTCATCGCCACTTGTCTGGGAAGCTCCAGGTTGCATTTCTGTCCTTCTAACAATCACCTTGACATTTGTAACATGAAGTACACGTTTCCAGGCAGAGTCTAAAGTTACTCAGTATTTCTCTTCTAAACATGCCTGCTTTATCTCTGTCTGCCTTGTCTATTTTATGTTGCTATGCGCAGATATCAGAGGCTGGGCACGTTATTTAAAAACAAACAAACAGAGGCTTAATTTGGCTCACAGTTTGGGAAGCAGGCTCGTTGAAGAGGGTGGCACCAGCGTCTCCTTGGTTTCTGGCAAGGATCTCGTGCTGTGTCACATAGTGGTGGAAAGGCAGGGAGGGGAAGCAGGCGCGTGGAGAAGGAGCACAGGTTTCCAGAGAAGGAAGCGAGGGACAGCTAAGCACGCTGAACTCGCTTCTAGCAGTCACCCCTCACGGTAACCAGTCCAGCTCCCAAGAGCAAGCACTCATTCCCTAAACTCCCCTGTTAACCACCTGACCCCCTCTCAACGCTGCCACCTTGGGAACCAAGCCTCACGAGGAGTTTTAGTGGCAACACAGCATCTCTAAGCCGTGGCACCATCCAAGCCCCCTCTCACCACCCATTAAACACCCTAGCCTTATCTTTCTAGCTTTGTCTTACAGTTAAAATGTGCCACTTTTTCAACACATAAAACAGGATTTTTATATAATTTTTATTTTCATTTTAGTTTTTAACAGATTCAGTGTGATTTGTAGGTATAATTCTAAGAACATAATGATATTCTTTCCTCACTCCCTCCTACCCTCTCCCTCTCTCACCCTCCTTCCTTTTCTCTCTTTATTTTAGTTTCTGAGGTAGTGTACTTTATTTTTTAAAGATTATTTATTTGAAAGTCAGACTTACACAGAGACAGGAGAGGCAGAGAGAGAGAGAGAGAGAGAGAGAGAGAGAGGTCTTCCATCCAATGATTCACTCACTCCCCAATTGGCCGCAACAGCCAGAGCTGTGCTGATCCAAAACCAGGAGCCAGGAGCTTCTTCCAGGTCTCCCATGTGGGTGCAGCGGCCCAAGCACTTGGGCCATCTTCTACAGCTTTCTCAGGCCATAGCAGAGAGCTGGATTGGAAGCGGAGCAGCTGGGTCTCAAACTGGCACCCATGTGGGATGCTGACACTGCAGGCCAGGGTATTAACCTGCTGTGCCACAGCGCCAGCCCTGAGATAGCATATTTTAAATACATTATAATAAAATACTTCTCTTAATAATGCTTCACTTATAATACTTCTCTTAATAAGAAGTTTAACAGGTAAAAAGCAAAAAGAACCTAGTTTCATGGGAATATGAACAATTGCTATAAACAATAATTGAATGGAAAAATGATCATTTCACCCAAATATTAAAATATTAAAGTAATCACAGATCATTACAACCATAAAAAAATCAGTATTTCTTTAATCAAGTTAGTTACATGTACTGATTTTTTAAAAACACGATGGAAGAAATTCCTGAGAATCTCTTTTCTGGTACTAAACGAGGGCCCACGGCTTGCCTGGCACACAGTAGGTGCTCAATAAATGAACCCCCCCATCCTTAGTCATTTGTCTCTTGGAAGTCGAACCTGCCCGCTCAGCAGGCGTGGATTCCTCTGGGTTGCTACCATTGTCCAAGACTAACTTTCTATGTTAGTTTTCTGAACACTGTACTTGACTGTGTAGCAAGCTAAACAGTGCCGGATTCAACGTTCTCGTTTCTGAGCCGTCAACGTGGACACTCACCAGGAAAGGAAGGCGGAGGGTCTGCGCTGGGGAGGAGGACCCGCCAGGCTGCGGGGCTGCCGCTCTTGGCTGCCAGTTGGAATGCAGCTGTCAAGGCAGCTGTTTCACTGTTTGTCCAACTTGAGCGGCCACTGCCAAGTGGCAAATATTTTTCCTGACAACATTTCACTTTTGCTAGGAACAATAACAATGCATTGTATCGCGGCCAAACGGGGCAGGTCTGTGACTCAGCAGGTTCACGGCCTGGGCCAAACATGGATGTTCCTTTTCGTGGCCAGTGCTTTTATGAAAAGAATAAATGGGCCCCCAAAGGAAGCCTGGACATAAAACAGCTTAATTATTTGTTGAAATGACAGCAGAGTGGAGAAACTGACATATCCCTGGAAGGAAAAAGTGACGATCTAGAAATTGGGGAAAAAAACCAGTCTCATTGCTCTCTGTGTAGTGTGACCTAGGAGTGACTTTACTCCAACTTGTCCAGGACAAGTGCAGGCAGCAGCAACGTGAGGAAACGCATCATCTGTTGAATCCCATGCAGCTGACAGAGCTCAGGACTTCTGGGTCACACAGTTAATCCACACTGTAAATTAGAATACCACAGCCTAGTACTTAGCAAACAATTATGTTGAACTTGACAGGGTGGGTGAGGTGAGAAGTCAGCAGCTATTTTTATTTAATGGTAAAATCAAGTATGCCAAATGTAGGCGAACAAAATTAAGAAAACATGCTGTGGCACAGCGGGTGAAGCTGCCATCTGCAACGTGAGCATCCTCTGTGGGCACCAGATTGAGTCCCAGCTGCTCTGCTTCCAATCCAGCTCCCTGCTGATGGCCTGGGAAAGCCGTGGAAAACGGCCCAAGTGCTTGCACCCTTCCACCTCCTTGGGAGAACTGGAGGAGGCTCCTGGCTCCTGGCTCCTGGCTTCAGCCTGGCGCCAGCTCTGGCCATTGTGGCTACTTGAGGGGAGGATGAACCAGCAGATGGAAGATTCTCTCTTTCTCTCTCTCTCTCTCTCTCTCTCTCTCTCTCTCCTTTGTAACTCTGACTTTCAAGTAAATAAATACATCATTAAAAAAAACTGCATTCAGATGCGTAAGTACAAGTTCTTCCAAACTCAACTGCGCGTGGATCACAATCAGGTTAGGTAACTGTCCTTGCTGGACTCTCCCTTGCCAGAATTGTGCACCTTCAGAAAAGCTCCTGGAGAAATTCTCTAGGTGTATAGAGAGTTCCTGTACACACTCGTTGCCTGCTCCCATTGGAGTGATGTTGGAAGTCAGCTGTAACTGCTATTCACAGCCTTGAGTGTGTGACCCCTCCCCACCCCTGCCTTTGTGAAGACTGCAGAGGTGGGGAAGGGGATGAGCTCCCTTTAATAAACCCCTATGGTCAAAGCTGGAGCAGGCATTTCTGAAGATGAACTGGGCTGCGTGGTCGCTGGAGATTCCAACCTACTTTTTTTCCCTCTATACAACTAAATTGTCATACACAACAGCAGTCTGGCGGTTTCTTTAAATTGCAAACACACATGTGTCTACAGAGTTGACATAGCTTTTTGGACAAAGATCAAGTCCCACCCACTGGCTAGTGATCGCCGAGGAAATCCATCACAAGTTTCATGCTCTTGTTTTCCAGGGATGCAGAAAAACAGCCACCACAAGGCATGGATGAAACTCACAAGCTCGCTTCCACGGAGAGGACCCAGCTGTTGGAGAAAGAACTGGCCGTGCGGCTGGCCGAACTGAAGTCTGAGCTAGAAGGGCAGGGGCCTTTTTGGGGAACATCTAACAGAGCTTACAGGTAGACGCTGGTGGTGGGCAGGCGGGGGCTCAGGGCCTGTTCTCCGTGTGCTCTCCATCAGCCCCTGGCTGTCTTCGCGTGGACGGTGGACACCATCTCAAGCTCAGTTAAGTGGCATCCAAACAGCAGCGGTATCCAGTGCCCCTGAGACCTTATGGCATTCTACAATAGTCAGGGTGGACTGAAGCAATGTCTCACCAAAGAAAACCGCAAAGTGCTTCTGGCTTCAAATTCCAGGAGCTGACACACCGATCCTACTCAGTGCAAAGAGATCTCACTTTACCCAATGGTATTTCGAGCTTGACCTTGATGTTGATGAGAAATTTTGAAATCTGAGATAATGCTAGGGACCTGCTCATGAATTCTTTTAAGAGCTAGTCCATCATAAATGCTGCCAACGACAGCAATGAAATTCTTTTATAGAACGTGGCACCCAAATCAGCCCCTAAGTGACAGGCCTCCTGGACCTGCGTCCATTGTGTCTCTGTTCACGGTACGACCACTGTTGATCAAAGCAACACTGCTAGGCTGAGCAAGTGTGACGTGGATGGGGGAAGGGTGTGAGAGGTCAGGAGAAGAGGCAGGGAGCAGGTGAAGTGGCCCACCATCCTGAAGATGATTCTGAAAAACCAGCATTTGGCATGTTTCTGAGATGGGTATTTAAAGCCATTGGGTGCCTGATGTGTTCCCAGCACTGCCAAGCCTTGGGGTGTGTCTGACACAAAATCAGGAGAGCCGCGTTCCTGGGCCTGGGGTCCCACAGCCCAGTGCAAGTCCATGGTGATGACTGTGCCAGAGGCCAGAAAAGCTCCCCCAGGGCTAATCTCTGAAGAACCAACATTCAGTGTGTTTCTGTGATGGGTATTTAAAGCCATTGGGTGCCAAAGCAGAAAGTATGCTTAGGATCATTTCCAGAAGATTCCATGTTTTTTTTTTTTTTTTTTTAAAGACTTATTTTATTTATTTGAAAGGCAGAGTTACAGAGAAAGAGAGAGGTCTGAGAGAGATCTCCCATCCACTGGTTCATCCCACAAATGGTCACAATAGCCAAGGCTGGGCCAGGCTGAAGCCAGGAGCCTGGAAATCCATCCAGGTCACCCACATGGGTGGCAGGGACCCAAGCACTTGGGCCAGCAACTGCTGCTTTCCCAGGCACATTAGCTGTAGCTGGATCAGAAGTAGAGCAGCCGAGACTCGAAATGGCGTGCATATGGGATGCCAGTGTCACAGGCAGTGGTTTTACCTGCTCCACCACAGCAACGGCCGATCTGTGTTTAATATTTAAGGGTCGTTTTCATCCCTAGGTAATTCAGGAAGAATAGCAAGATAAAAACATTTGACTGCAATGACCAGATGCGGGTTTTATGTGTCAACCCAGATGAGAACGAAGTAAGGTTACGTGGGGCAGACAGATGAGGGAAATACAGCTTCCCATCACATGTGCCTCCCTGTACTCTGGAGTAGGAAACTGTGTGGTAGATCCGGGCCAGCAGGGAGGTGAGAACAACTGGCCCAGAGAAAGTTTCAGCAACCGTGAGGCACACCTGAGAAAGACTGTGACCAAGACAGAAGATCGTGGCCTTCCTGAGCCCCTGAGAATCCTGTGTAATTTGATGCCAGGGGACTTCTGAGAGCTCGTGGTAATGTGGAATGAAAAGACAGGTTTATTTTGTTGCAAAAGATGTTTAAATCATGCAATATTTTCATTATTTGCATCTTCATTTTAAAAAAGGATGTATTAATTTATTGGAAAGGCAGAGTTACAGAGATAGAGAAGAACAGAGAGATCTTCCATCTGCTGGTTCACTTTATTTTTTTGAAAGATTTATTTTAGGAGGTTGGTGCAGTGGCATAGCCGGTAAAGCCGCTGCCTGCAGTGCTAACATTCCATATGGGCGCTGGTTTGAGTCCTGGCTGCTCCTGTGCTGATCCAGCTCTCTGCTATGGCCTGGGAAAGCAGTGGAAGATGGCCCAAGTCCTTGGACCCCTGCACCTGCATGGGAGATCTGGAGGAAGCTCCTGGCTCCTGGCTTCAGATCGGTGCAGTTCCAGCCATTGTAGCCAACTGGGGAGTGACCCAGTGGATGGAAGATCTCTCTCTGCCTCTCCTTCTCCCTCTGTGTAACTCTGACTTTCAAATAAATAAATACATCTTTTTAAAATTTTTATTTTATTTATTTGAAAGAGTTACAGAGAGAAGCAGAGACAGAGAGAGAGGTCTTCCATCCGCTGGTTCACTCCACAAATGGCCACAATGGCTGGAGCTGTGCCGATCCGAAGCTGGGAGCCAGGAGCTTCTTCTGGGTCTCCCACATGGGTGCAGGGGCCCAAGGACTTGGGCCATCCTCCGCTGCTTTCCTAGGCACATTAGCAGGGAACTGGATCAGAAGTAGAGCAGCCAGGAGTAGAACTGGCACCCATATGGAATGCCAGCACTTCAGGCCAGGGCTTTAACCCACTGCGCCACAGCACCATCTCCTGGTTCACTTTCCAAATGGCTGCAACAGCTGGGACTGAGCAATCCAAAAGCAGAACTTCCTCCGGATCTCCCATGTCAGTGGCAGGTCCCAAGCATTTGGGCCATCTTCTACTGCCTTCCCAGGAGCATAGCAGGGAGCTGGATTGGAAATGGAGCAGCTGGGACTTGAACACATGCTCATATGAAATGCCAGCATTGCAGGTAGTGGCTTCGTTCGTTGCACCACAACCTTGGTCCCCATTATATTCATTTTCTACAAACTTTGGTGATTTCTGATATTCCTATTTGTAAACAGGCAGCTGTGAAGTTATGGGTTATCCAGGGCCTACCTAAAACCTGCTCTAGTATACTCTCCATAATTACAGCTTCCATTGTATACATCTTTCTGCAGCTCTGTTCAGATACCGAAAGACATTTCTTACTTTAGAAGAGAACGGGAACTGGCACTCCAGAGAACCTTACAGGTGAGTAGGACAGAGGGCTATTTTATCCAAGAATGAGTTCAATTTTGTTAACATGTTGGGAACTTTTAGCAGGAAATGTTTATTTGTGCCAACATACAGGCAATGTTATTGGCAGTGGGTTCTAGAACAAGACAGCCCAGTATTCAGCTCCCTGCTGGGTTAGATAGGTCCACTACGTCCTTGGAGATGGCTGATTTTTGTGATGTTTGGCATTTTCTGGTTTCTTGACCTGAAATGTTAAAGACCAGTTATTTGGGTTTAGGTGGCCACGGCGAAGCCCCTTGTTATTCAGGCAGATGTCCTGCAGAGGGAGCTAGAGAGCTGCCTAAGAAGAGAGTACACTCCGGAAAACCTACCTTTGCTTCTACTGCAGGTAAGGGTCATTTTGCAATCTGAGAAACACATCTGGAGCACAGCAGAGATATATGAACAAAGCTGGCTTCCTGGTGTATCATCTGGCTAGGGTAGGGTTTCCTCTAACATGTAGTTGGCAGAACTCGTTTAGTGCAAATATGATTATTAAAGAACAATACTGTAGTTCACTTTAAAGACACCAACTGGTGGACTGAGTCTCCACTGAAGGTTCCCTCTGTCCTGGGAGTTCCGGGCAATACAGCACAGGCTAAGATAGTCCCAGCCCTCAGAGAGCTGTTGCAGCCCAAGTCCTTGGGACCCTGCACCCACGTGGGAGACCTGGAGGAAGCTCCTGGCTCCTGGCTTCGGATCAGCGCAGCTCCGGCCATTGCGGACATCTGGGGAGTGAACCAGCAGATGGAAGACCGCTCTCTGTCTCTACCTGTCTCAGTAACTTTGTCTTTCAAATAAATAAAATAAGTCTTTAAAAAAAAAAAAAAGAAAGCTGTTGGCTCATCTTGGGAAGGCATATCCTGTGCTGAGTTCTACCCTTTCTATGGACTCAAATTGGTTCTTTAGCAGCTACCTGTGGTTAGCAATTAACAAAGAGACAAAAGGTATTGAGGTTCTGTTTGCAAGTTCAGCCACTCATTGTTCAGGATCCTCCTCTTTGATGCTGGCATGCTTCATTCCTTTTTGTGTCAGAGGTTCCCAGGGGAGAGAGGGGGAGGACTGCCCTGGAGGACATTGTGGTCCTTGGGGACCTTCAGCAATGTCCGGGAGAAGTCTTTGGCTCTGAAGATTTGGGTGGGGGGCTTTGATTGGTTGCTACTGGCATTTACTGGACTGAGACAAGGGACACCACTAAACAGTGCACAGGGCAGCCTCGCACACAGAGGTTTCTGGTCCCAAATGTCAATGGCATCAAGGTTGAGAAATCCAGTACAGTCTAAAGCCCTGTGTGATATCATTTGCTTCTTGTCTGAAGACCTTCCTTGAACATGGTCTGCCGGGGGAAATTCTCACCGACTATGTGGTTTTTTTGCTTTTTCAATGACAAGAGTCAATATATACTTTTTTATTTTTTAAAAGATTTGGTTTACTAATTTTTAAAAAAGATTTATTTATTTATTTGAAAGTCAGAGTTACACAGAGAGAGAGAGGTGAGGCAGAGAGAGAGAGAGAGAGAGAGAGGTCCTCCATCTGCTGGTTCACTCCCCAATTGGCCACAAGGGCCAGAGCTGTGCCAATCCAAAGCCAGGAGCCAGGAACCAGGAGCCAGGAGCCAGGAGCTTTTTCCGGGTCTCCCACGCAGGGGCCCAAGCACTTGGGCCATCTTATACTGCTTTCCCAGGCCATAGCAGAGAGCTGGATCAGAAGTGGAGCAGCTGGGACTAGAACCAGCACCCATATGGGATGCCGGCGCTGCAGGTGATGGCTTTACCCACTAAGCCACAGTGCTGACCTCGAGATTTTATTTATTAACTTTATTACAGAAACCTGGGGTGGGAAAACTCCCTCCATTCAAACAGGGGCCAGAAACAGTGGAGGATTCAAGCAATTTATTACGCCAGTGGGCTTGGCTGGAATCATTTCCCGAGAACTGAGCAACATTCCCAAGTTTCTTACAATATTTACAGGTTCATCAGCAACATACCTTAGCTGTTACAGCATTGGTGGGTTTAAATTGCAGCCTACATGACTTAGGACCACACTTCCAATGGTCGGTGGGCACGGTATGTTTGTAGAAGAGATACCAGGGGCAGATTTATTAGGACAGATTTATGACTGGAGTTTACAGAAGCAGAGCTTAGGACTTCTTCCCTCCCTAGACAAGATAACAGTGGGCAGCTGCTTCACTAGTTAATTGAGAGCAGCTACTTTTCAAGGTCTGTGTTGGGAGGAGGGGTCTGCTTCTCTTTCTGTGTCTCTGGTTGCAGCTGTATTTCCTCTACAATTTGAGAGGTGGAGTTACAGACAGAGAGAGGTAGAGACAGAGAGAGAGGTCTTCCATCCACTGGTTCACTCCCAGGACGGCCGCAATGGCCAGAGCTGCACCAATCCGAAGCCAGGAGCCAGGAGCTTCTTTCAGGTCTCCCACAAGGGTGCAGGGGCCCAAGGACTTGGGCCATCTTCTACTGCTTTCCCAGCCCATAGCAGAGAGGTGGATCGAAAGAGGAGCAGCTGGGACTCGAATCAGTGTCCATATGGGATGCTAGTGCTGCAGGCAGAGTATAGCCCCCTACGCCACAGCGCCGGCCCCCAACTCTGCTATTTTGAAAGAGGTATTCCCATTCCAGAAAGATACTTTCATTCAACTTAGAATTCTGTGTTGATGGATTTTCTCTTTCATCGCTTTGGAGATGTTGCTCCGTTTCCTTCTGGTTTGTACAGTTTCCATTTCTGAACAGAGTGTGTCTTGCTGTTCCCTGCTTGTTTTTGAGAGTTTTTCTGAATGATTTCTAGCCACTTTATCATGACACGTACGAATGTGGCTTTTCCTTGTGTTTCTCTCACTTGAGGTCGGTTGAACTCGGATGGTGGGTTTGTTTACATCCATTTTTGCAAAATTGCAACCATTGTTTCTTCAAATCTATTTTCTGTCTACATCCCTCCTTCAGGTCTTCCAGTTACAGGTGTGTTAATCCACCTCGTGTCATGCCACGAGATTAACATTTTTTCACTGTTGTTTCTCTCTGCCTCATCTTAGATAGTCATTATTGCTCTGTCTTCCACTTCACTGACTTGTTCTCGTGCAATGTCCGATCCGCTCTTTATCCTGTCCAATTAATGTTCCCTTTCAGATAGCATGGTTTTCATTTCTAGGAGTTCCATTAGATTCCTTTTGATATTTTGCATGTTTCTCTTCAGTGTGTCTAGTGTTTCCTTTCCATACTCGGGCATTCTGTGCACGTTTATAGTAAGTCTTTAACAGTTCTTATTCGATCATTTCTTGACCTCTGTTGCTTCTTGGTCTGTTTCTCATGACTATTTTTTTTTAAAGGTTTATGTTATGTATTTGAAAGGCAGAGTTACAGAGAGGCAGGGGTAGAAAGGTGGAGGAAGAGAGAGATCTTCCATCCGCTGGTTCACTCCCCAAATGGCCACAAAGGCCAAGGCTGGGCCAGGCTGAAGCCAGGAGCCAGGAGCTTCTTCTGCACCTCCCACATGGGTGCCAGAGTCCAAGCACTTGAGACATCCTTGGCTGCTTCCCCAAGCACATCAGCAGGAAGCTGGACTGGAAGCAGAGCAGCCGAGACGTCAACTGGGGCCCATATGAATTACAGGCATTGCAGGCAGTGGCTTTATCTGTTTCCCCACAATGCTGGCCCCATGTGACTGATTTTTCTTCTGTGTATGGATCATTCCTTTTTTCTTCTTTGCATATCTAATACTTTCAAAAGTCATCAATTTTTCATTATTGAATGCCAGCTTTTTTTTTATATTCCACCCATTAGCTTACTTCTTTCAAGTCTTGATTTTAAACTTTGTTAGAATGAATTCACATTTATTGATTTAAGATTTATTTATTTATTTGAAGGGCAGAATGACAGAGGGAGACACACACACACACACACACCTCACACAGATCTTCTATTCACTGGATCACTCCCCAAATGGCTACAACATCCAGGGCTGGGCCAGGCTGAAGCCAGGAGCCCAGAACTCCACCTGGGTCTCCCACATGGGTGGCAGGAACTCGAGTACTTCATCTGTCATCTGTTGCTTCCCAAGCACATTGGCAGAGAGCCAGATGGGAAGCCGAGTAGGGACTCAAACTGGCTCTCTCCTATGGGATACCAGTGTCAAGGGTGGCAGCTTAACCTGCAATACCACAACACCTGCTTCTAGAAGGAGTTTAGAATGAACTTTATTCCAGGCATCATTTCCCATTGTTCCTAAGGCTGTTGGCATCTCCCTGAGGGTCCCAGGTTTCAAGGAAGACCCTTCACTCTGTGAACTTGGAGAATTACTCAGCGTGCAAGGTCTCAGTCACTTATTCTCTGCACACCTCCTGGAGCTCCTCCTTCTGTGTGCCCGGCTCAGAGCTCAGCCACAGGCTGAGAGGGAGCTCCTGCAGGTTTCTGGAGCCCTTTGTCTGCCTGACTTCCTCCTCCCCGACACTCTGCCCTGCAGGCTGCTGCTCACTCTGCATCCCAAACTTCTGTTTCTCTCGGATTAACTCAGAGATGTCTCCCACTCTGCCTACGATTCCCTTTCCTGCTCCAGGGCTCAGAAACCGCCTTCAAGAAGAAAACCAGTGTGATCACAGCAGCTTATATGATTGGTTTCCCTTCTGGACCGGTCTTCCCCTTCCCTCCCAGGCCCCCATCTCAGTAAATGTCGAAAGTGATTGTCATGTATATGATGTTGAGGTTTCTGCTTCTCTAGGATGGAGGGCTGAGTCTGGGCCTAGCAATTCTATCATAGCCAGTGTTGTTTTTATTGTCAGAGAGAAAGCATTTTTAAAGAGTTGGCTTAGGGCCGGTGCCGCGGCTCACTAGGCTAATCCTCCACCTGTGGCGCTGGCACCCCGGGTTCTAGTCCCGGTTGGGGTGCCGGATTCTGTCCCAGTTGCTCCTCTTCCAGTCCAGTTCTCTGCTGTGGCCCAGGAGGGCAGTGGAGGATGGCCCAAGTGCTTGGGCCCTGCGCCCGCATGGGAGACCAGGAGAAGCACCTGGCTCCTGGCTTCGGATTGACACAGTGCGCTGGCCCTAGCGGCCATTTTGGGGGTGAACCAATGGAAGGAAGACTCTGTCTCTCTCACTGTCCACTCTATCCAAAAAAAAAAAAAAAGTTGGCTTAACTCTTTTTGAGGTACATAAAATTTGTGATCTGAGGTTACATGTTATAATCTTATCTGTAATATATTTTGTATTTTGACTAATTGTTTAAGTTTTTTTTAGAGATTTTTTAATTTATTTTGAAAGAGTTACAGAAAGAGAGAAGGAAAGAGAGAGAGAGAGAGATCTTCCATCTCTGGTTCACCCTACAGATGGCCACAATGGCCAGTGCTGAGCCAGGCCGAAGCCAGGAGTCAGGAGCCACGAGCTTCATCTGGGGGCCCCCCCATGGGTGGCAGGGGCCCAAACACTTGGACCATCTTCTGCTTTTTCCAGGCCGTTAGCAGGGAGCTGGATTGGAAGGGAACAGCTGGGACACGAACTTGTGCCCCTCTGGGATGCTGTTGTCACAGATGGTGGCTTTACCCATTATGCCACAGTGCTGGCTCCACCATTTCAGTTTTTAATACAAAATGTTAAGTTCAGCTTCAGCTACTCTGACAGACTTTTATGTCAGGTTTAAAACTGTTGACTAACTGATAAATGAGCTTACAATCTACTGACTCAGCATCAGATCATAGAGATTTAGAAATGCCTCCTCGCTTTATTTAAACCTGAATCACATCCTGAGTCATGCTTCTCAGTTTTATGGTCTACACATAGGAAAATACACGTGTGCGAACCAACCAGTCACTGGTCTGGTTTACCTGTCGTTGCCATTCTTAAGAATTAACTGTCTCCCCACTGTAATTGTGTCGTGCCAAGTGTTTATTTTTGCTGTTGTTGTTAAAGCATTACACAGCGAGAACCGCCCAGCTGGTTCAGAGCAAACGCCTCCACGTGCTCAGATGGAAGAGGTTTTGCCGGCGCGGTCAGCCCATGGAGCAGCTTTTTCCGCTTTACAAGGTAGGAAGCTCACGGACAGAACGCTGGGCTGCTCTTCGGAATGCAGCCAAATGGCCGATGAGCTTGTCAGGTGTTTCAGGTCACGGCTGGGGATGGGCAAGGAACTGAAATGTGTATTTTCTTGCTCCTTCTGCCGGTGGTAGAAGATAATGCTTCCCTTTTTTTTTTTTTAAGATTTATTTATTTATTTGAAAGTTAGAGTTACACATAAAGAGAAGGAGAGGCAGAGAGCGAGAGAAAGGGGTCTTCCATCTGCTAGTTCACTCCCCAGATGGCTGCAACGGCTGGAGCTGTGCCGATCCGAAGCCAGGAGCCAGGAGCTTCCTCCGGGTCTCCCACATGGGTGCAGGAGCCCAAGCACTTGGGCCATCCTCCTTTCCCAGGCCACAGCAGAGAGCTGGATTGGAAGTGGAGCAGCCAGGATTCGAACCGGCACCCACATGGGATGCCGGTACTGCAGGTGATGGCCCCACCTGCTACGCTGCAGCACCAGCCCTCTGCTTCCTATTTTTGAAAAAGGCTGACAAGATAATGTTTTATATGATGGGAAATAATTTTCTTTTTATAGTCTTGGTCTCCTCTGTGCCAGGGAAAGGGCCCAGAAGCTAAAGCCAGTTCCTAAACCTCCTTGGGCACTGACTCTCTATTTGGGGTCTCTCTCCTTCCAAGTCCTAAGCGTAGAACCACTGCCCTTGTCAAACTCAGGAGATGGAGGAACCTTGGGATCCCAAGAGTCCCTTCTCTGGCCCCCAACAGCATTCCCCTACTCTTGGAAGCCAGTGATACAGAGACTAAGGAAGGTGGGCAAACACCAAGCTCTTCCCTTGTAACCCTTTTAAATAGAAACAAGTTGGCTACATTATGCAGGAGTGCAGTGATGCTGCTCAGAGAGCTGAAAGATTGTCTGTGGCTCGAGAGAACTTCCTGATGGGAAAAACCAACCCTCCTGAGTTAGTAACCCTGGAAGACCTAACCATCTACACCAAGTGGCTCGTGTGTCACCTGCACTCTCTCCGGACTGTCCACCGCTACCTGCAGGTAAGTGAAGCTTGGGGATGCCGTGGTGCCCTCCCCGGGAGTGGTCAACACGTGGTTTTCTCGCACTTGTTCTCTAGTTTGGGGTTGTCACAATTGTACACTCTACCTGCCCTACAAATGACAGGGAAGCGACAGTCACTGGCCCTTCTCTTGGAAACTTCTTGTTGGGAGAGTTTGCTCTCTGGACGTCACTCCGTAAGTCAGCTTTCTCATGAGGATCTAATATGTGCCCGGTACTCGTCCCAGACCCCACAGCAAAGATACAGTCTTTCTGAGAGACGGAGAGGTCTCAGGCTAGTGGGAAGACAGGTGAGGGCTTGCAATGGAAATGCAGTGGCCTAGGAAGGCGTAGAGGAAGCCAGAGCACAGGGCAGGGAGAGGCCCTGACTCCGGTGAGCAGCATCACAAAGCCCTACCAGGACTGCATTTCCATTTTAGACAGACTGTTGCTTCCCTACCTCAAGCTTTTCCTACTCAGCTCCGTGTTACACCATCCACAGAGTCAGCCAGCTCAGGAAGCCATCGCTGTGATTTGTGCCTTCCCCACGGCCAGTCCCACCCAATGGGCTCCACCTCCAGCCCATCTCTCCCGGGTCACACAGGCTCTAAACACCTGCTCACAAGTCCAGGTCCTCCATACTACTCACACCGAGGGCTCTTTGGGGTTGCCCCAGTCTGATCCCTTTTTGTAGCCCTCACCCCTCCACAGGGCCTTGTCTGCCTTGTGTGTTTGATCCCTGTGGACCGTGCTGGAGGTTGAGGCCCCCAGAGTGAGTAACAGGCACAAACTCAGCTCCCTCGTCCCTGGGCAGCTCACTGAGGTTCTGCCCCTCTCCTGCTCATCATGGGAGCAGAGTGCTCCTGACCCTACAGCCGGAAGCTTGACCATGGTGTCTTGGTTGTGCCTTTCTGCAGGCCCTCCAGAATCTACCCATCTCCAAGGTGCTGAGTGACACTGAAAAACAAGCCCCTGAAAATGAGAAGGTCAATGTCAATGACATCAACCCCGATGTCCAGGGTTCTGCATCTCCTGGCACTGTGGATACCAGCATTGCAGGTCAGAAACAGTCTTATTTCACCTAGGGTATTGGCTCATTCCCCAAATGTCCACAACAGCCAGATCTGAACCCAGGAGCCAGACACTCCATCTGGGATCCCACATGGGTGGCAGGGGCCCAAGTCCTTGAGCCATCATCTGCTACCTTCCCAGGCACATTAGCAGCTGGGACTCAAACTGGTGCTCCAATACAGAATGCCGGTGTTGCCAGTGATGGCTTAACCCACTGCATCACAACACTGGCTCCTGTCTTCATCTTTAGAATTAGATAATCAAGAAAGAAGGGGGGCAGTGCTGTGGTGCAATGGGTTAAAGCTCTGGTCTGTGGCACCAGCATCCCATATGGACATTGGTTCTAGTCCCAACTGCTCTTCTTCCGATCCAGATCTCTATTATGGCCTGGAAAAGCAGTGGAAGATGGCCCAAGTCTTGGGCCCCTGTTCCTGGCTCCTGGCTTCAGATCAGCTCAGCTCTGGCCATTGCAGCCATTTGGGAAATGAATCAGCAAATGCAAGATCTGTCTCTACCTCTCTCTGTAACTCAAATAAATAAAAAATAAGTCTAAAAAAATAAAAAAGAAAGACGGCAGGGCAATGGGCTTAGAAGTCATGAGTGCTGGGCTCAGGACTCCAGGCCCCACCGTGGGCCTGCATGTGGACTCCTTGGGCCTCAACCGACTCATCTTCAGAACCAGCCTTTCGGAGTACGCCATCCCTAAGGTCCCTTCCATCTGCATGTCACACAGTTCTCAAAGACTCCTCATCTGAGTCAGCACAGCCCCCCTGCCCTTCCCGGGGGTTCCAGGTGCCTAAGAGACATGAACAGGTCTCTACTCTGAGCAGCGTGCTTGCTTGCACTATGTACAGGGTCTCAGAGGAACACCTGGGAGAGGCAGCCAGCTTCTCGTAGGACAGCATGCCAGACGGGGTCCTCAGACATGAGTGGGAGTTAGAGGAAAGCAGAGGAAGACTGCTTCCAAGGTGTTGGGAACTTCTCTTTTTTTTTTTTGGTTCACCCCCTAAGTGGCTGCTATGGCCGGCGGACTGCGCCGATCCAAAGCCAGGAGCCAGGTGCTTCCTCCTGGTCTCCCATGCGGGTGCAGGGCCCAAGCACTTGGGCCATCCTCCACTGTACTCCCGGGCCACAGCAGAGAGCTGGCCTGGAAGAGGAGCAACTGGGACAGAATCCAGCGCCCCAACCGGGACTAGAGCCCGGGGTGCCAGCGCCGCAGGCTGAGGATTAGCCTAGTGAGCCACCGCGCCAGCCGGGAACTTCTCAATAATATTCTCTCTTTACCCCAAAGGGTTCTCGTCAGTTCCTCTCCCACTCAGTCATTCTACAAACCTTCTGCTGGGTTTCTCCTACAGGCCGCGAGCCAGGCGAGGAGTCCCTGCTGCCTTCCTAAGACACCCAGCTCCAAGCACCTGTCAGACGTACCTGGTCAGGTGTGGCACAGACTGTCAATCATGGCAGGGCAGGCTGGGCAAGGAGCAGAGGGGCTTCCCTCGGCAGAGGGGGGTCCTAGCCCCTGTTCTCTTTCTCTCTCTTTTTTTTTTTTTTTTGACAGGCAGAGTGGACAGTGAGAGAGAGGGAGACAGAGAGAAAGGTCTTCCTTTTGCCGTTGGTTCACCCTCCAATGGCCGCCACGGCCGGCGCACCACGCTGATCCGATGGCAGGAGCCAGGTGCTTCTCCTGGTCTCCCATGGGGTGCAGGGCCCAAGCACTTGAGCCATCCTCCACTGCACTCCCTGGCCATAGCAGAGAGCTGGCCTGGAAGAGGGGCAACCGGGACAGAATCCAGCGCCCCGACTGGGACTAGAACCCGGTGTGCCAGCACCGCAAGGCGGAGGATTAGCCTATTGAGCCACGGCGCCGGCCTAGCCCCTGTTCTCATAGGACTCCCTGCCCACTCCTCCAACTGCTCTTCATTGGTCTTAATGCTCTTGGTTTGGGATTTTTTTTTCCAGGTTCAAGGAGAGCAGAGGCTGCTTGTGTCTTGCCCCAACACACAGCAGAAGCAGAAGACCTGAAGCCTCAACTGAAGTCCCTCCTCTCCCATTTCCACATCCCATACGACGTCAAAGAGCTCAGGGATGCTGCAAAGGAGATGCAGCTGTTTTTCTTGGTACTTGGTGTATTCTTGCTTAATGCCAGCCTAGGTGTCCTTGAAAGAAATCAGTGGTATTGGCCAAACATTTCGTAGTTTTACAGCCAATGATTGTTTCCAGAGTGAGGAGATAGAATAGTAACAGGTGGAATTTAGATTGGCACTTAGGAGAATTTATTCTCTGAGCTATGGGACCCTCAGAAGCAAACCTCAGTGGCATAGTGGGATGCATTTTTTTTTCTGCAGAATTTGAAGAAAAAGGTAGGCTACAGTGTATAGTAGAAGATGTCAATGTAGCCAAGATTTGGCAAGTCTGCGTGGTGCAATGATCAGGTGTCTAAAGCCTTCCAGTTCTCAGAATGTGCTGCAATAGCTCTCCTGAGTGACAAGATGCCTCGTATTCAGAGTGCACACCTGCACTTCTGTTCACAATTGCACAGTCTGCTCTGCTGTAACACAGTTGCGCTTCCTTTAACAACTGGTGTTAGCAAAAGCAAAGGGAAAAATAAGACTGTGGGTAGAGAGCCCAGATGCATTGTAACAAATTATTTTAGCAGGAGTTTCAACCATAGAGATGTTTTTCCAGAAGCAGGTGCATTTGATTGGCAAGTATGCATACAGTCACTGGGTGGAAATAACAAATGGATTTATTCAAACAGGCAAAAATCAAATCTGAATGGTTTGGAATGCTCTGCGTGTCAGAAGCAGCCACCGTCTCCACTATCACCATTTGCTTGGCCTTGAAGGTTCACTTGCGTTTGTATTTGTTCCATTCACACCGACTCATTTTTTTTTTTTTTTAAGATTTATTTATTTGTTTGGAAGTCAGAGCTACACAGAGAGAGAAGAGGCAGAGAGAGAGAGAGAGGTCTTCTAACCACTGGTTCACTCCCCAACTGGCCACAACAGCCGGAGCTGGGCCAATCTGAAGCCAGGAGCCTGGAGCTGCGGGTGCAGGAGCCCAAGGACTTGGGCCATCTTCTACTGCTTTCCCAGGCCGTAGCAGAGAGCTGGATGGGAAGTGAAGCAGCGGGACTAGAACATGGGATGCTGGCACTGCAGGTGGCAGTTTTTACCTGCTATACCACAGCACCAGCCCCCACACAGACTTTTTAAGTTCTCTGGAACCAATGGTAGCATGTGCTGTGGGTTCTCTGCAGTTGGTGGGGTTTCGCCTTTTTCTCCCTTTCTAGGTGGGCAGCAGCAGCATCTTCAGCAAAGAGCTTCTGCGGCAGTGTCCTCAATTTTCTTATTGCCGAGTAGTATGACAGTAGAATCAACGTAAGATGCTGTTTACAAAGAACCCAAATGAAAGAATACATTCTGGTCGAGTGGGCTATATACATTATCAATCGGAAACAAACAACTAACTACAGGTTTGGCAGGGCACCCAGCAAAGCAGCCTTGTTCCCAAAGAGCAACCTGTCTCCCTTCGTGGTGACAATTTCTACTCTAATAAAAAAAATTCAGGGGCTGGTACTGTAGCGTAGTGGGTAAAGCGCTGCCTGCAGTGTCGGCATCCCATATGAGCGCCAGTTTGAGTCCCAGCTGCTCCTCTTCTGATCCAGCTCTCTGCTATGGCCTGGGAAAGTGGTAGAAGATGGCCCAAGTCCTTGGGTCCCTGCACCCACGTGGGAAACCTGGAAGAAGCTCCTGGCTCCTGGCTTTGGATCAGTGCAGCTCCGACAATTGTGGCCAATTAGGGAGTGAACCAGTGGATGGAAGTCCTCTCTTTCTCTGCCTCTCCTTCTTTCTCTGTGTAACACTGACTTTCAAATAAATAAATAAATCTTTTTTTTTTTAAGATTTATATATGTAGTTGTGTTTTTAAAGACAGAGAATGAGGTGGGGGGAGATCTTCCATCTGCTGGCTCACTTCTCAAATGCCTGCAACAGCCAGGGCTGGGCCGGGCAGAAGCCAGGAGCCAGAAACTCCATCCAGGTCTCCCACGTGGGTGGCAAGAAGTGCCACTTCTGCTGCCTTCCTAGATACATTAGCAGGAAGCTGTACTGGAAGCAGAGCAGCCAGGCCTGGAACTGGCACTCAGGGGATGCTGGTGTTGCAAGCAGTAGCTTAACCCACTGTGTCACGACACGGGCTACTATTTTTGATTTTCTTATGACAGTGTTATATGAAATCCCAGCTTCTCCCAAAGTAGCCAATCACATGGAATGGCTTTTTGTGTAGGAAGAGTTCCTGTATTTAGGTTCTGTGCTGGTTCATAATGCCCTAGAGCAGGGTTAGCAGGTGACAGCCTGTTGCTGCCATGTGTGTGTGTTCTGTTGGAATTATAGCTGTTATTTCAGCTGTTATAACCAAATGCCATAAACTCATGCTCATAAGCCAGAAACATATCTTTTATAGTTCTGGAGGCTAGAGCTGGATTGGGTATCTGGTGAGGGCTTGCTGTCTGGGTCAGAGACAGTACCTTCTTGCTATGCCTGCACGTGGGAAGGGGCAGAGTTGGACAAGTGAGAGAGAGGAGAGACAGAGAGAAGGTCTTCCTTTGCCGTTGGTTCACCCTCCAATGGCCGCCGCGGCCAGCGCGATGCGACCGGCGCACCGCGCTGATCCGATGGCAGGAGCCAGGAGCCAGGTGCTTTTCCTGGTCTCCCATGGGGTGCAGGGCCCAAGCACCTGGGCCATCCTCCACTGCACTCCCGGGCCACAGCAGAGGGCTGGCCTGGAAGAGGGGCAACCGGGACAGAATCCGGCGCCCCGACCGGGACTAGAACCCGGTGTGCCGGCGCCGCTAGGCGGAGGATTAGCCTAGTGAGCCGCGGCGCCGGCCTGTTTGTTTGTTTTTAAGATTTACTTATTTGCCTGAAACTTAGAGTTACAGAGACTTGGAGACAGAGATAGAGATGAGAGAGAGAAATATCCACTGGTTTACTCCCCAGGTAGCCACAATGGCCAGGGCTGAACCATGCTAAAGCCAAGGGCCAAGAGCTTCACCCGGATCTCCCACATAGGTGGCAGGGCCCAAAGTACTTGAGCCATCTTCTGCTGCTTGTCCCAGGCCATTAGCAGGGAGTTGGATGGAAAGTGGAGCAGCTGGGACTTGGATCAGCATTCACAAGGGATGCTGGTGTCGTGCCACAATGCTGGTCCCCTGGGGTTTGGGATTTTTTTTTTTAACACATGAATTTTATGCAGACACAGTAACACAAATACTTAGACCGTGCTCATTCATTTGTGATTTGTCTATGGCTGCTTCTACACTGCAATGGCAGACTAGAGTAGCTGCAAGTGAGACCCTGAGGTCTGGCAAGGCTAAAATATTTACTATCTGAAATATTGACAAGAATGTTTGCCATCCCACATCTAGACTAGCCATGATGGATACGTTCAGTCTCTGACCAACATGCTAACTGCCAGTCACACATGGCTACTGAGCATTTGAAGTGCGCCTAGTGCACCCGAAGCATTAAATCTTCAACTCTAGGTCATTTTAACAGATTCACATTTAAGTGGTAACTGGCCATGTGTGGCTGGGGGCGACATGTTGGGTAGCACAGCTTTGGAGATACCAGCATTAACTAGGAGATTCTTCAGCTTTGTGGCTCAAGTGCTTGCTCACCCTTGCAGACACAGCTTAGCAATGCTAGCCCCGTTGCAGGTTCTCTGTGTGTCCGTACGTGTATGTATGATGTGTGGTGAGGTATGTTTTAACCTGCTACCTCCCAGGGTGCACATTAGCAGGAAGCTGGACTCAAAAGCTGAGCCAGGACTTGACCCAGGTGCTCCAATACTGGTTGTGGATGTCCCAGGCAGGCTCCTTACAGTTGCGTCAGGTGCCTGCCCCTGTGGTGAGTTCCTGTGGGTCACAGTCTGTGGCCTTGAGTGGCTCATCATATGGTGGGAACATCACCACGCAGTGTGGGCCACCACCAGCTCACTGGCCCCGCCCACTCAGGTGGAGGTGGGGTTCTGGAAGCTGGACACATGTGTAAGGGAGCTGCGGAGGGAACGGACCAGGCCCCCGGAGGAGTTTCAGCAGCTCCGACAGCTGCACTCCTGTCTCTTGAAACAACCCAGTCAGGCTCTGGGAGCAGGATGTAATCATCCTTGCATTGTTTCCTTCACCAGGTGACCAGAAAAAGTGAACCTGTTCCCCAGAGTGGATCATTGTGTTCTCTCTTACCCTCAGAGTCTGGGTCAAAATACTACTCAATGAGTAGGCTAATCCATTTCCAAGTTTGGAGCAGGCATTCAGGATCAGTGCACACCCACGATGATGGTAATGAGCTGACAAACGCGCCTTTTTGAGCCCCCTCTTTCTCTCAAAGGCAAGCTTTAGGAATTAATTTTGGTCACAGGCTACTTCAAAGGCAATCAGCAGCTGTTTTCAGAAAGGCCTAATGTCCGACACTTTTTTTTTTTTTTCCGGGGCTCTCACTCCCATGCAGGTTTCCCAAAAATTTCAAAGCATCTTCATGGAGCAACAGAAGATGCAGACGTTTCCCGACTATGAAGCTCGGAAGGCAACTGCAGAGAATCTGGGTCTGGCAGGACCTCCTTCAGCCCTGAAAAAGAGAGCCAATTGGATTCCCTTTATAAAGGTAAGGGGGCCTGTGGTGACAGGCCCCTGGGGGTGGCATCAGCTGTGTCACTGTGCCCTCCAACCAGGCCAGGCTACCTGGCAGCACCAGGGTGGTCTGTCCCTGGTGGGCCCTCTCCTCACTGCCCTCTGGGACCAGTAGAGACACCTGCTTGTTGTCAGGTGTAGCCACTCAAGAAGTTGGCCTTGAACTATTGGCCAGGCTCTGCCAGCTCGCTGCCTGCTGGGACTCCATGCAGAAGTTAGCTGTGCTGACCCGCCTTCTCTGGGCGTTCCCCAGTCTCCCGTACCCTGCTCGATTTGATCAACACTCCCTTCCTGCTTTGGCAAGAATAAAGAGAAGGGTAATATGCAAAGGTGCAGCTGACTTTTTAGCTGAAAACAACTTGTTGGGTGTATACTGTGTGTTAGGAATGACCCTTGGAACTAGAGACACACAATTCACAAAGCAGGCCTGAGTAAGCAGAGTAAAGGATATAGTGGTGAGCAGGGCTAAATGCAACGCATTTTCACCGGACAAGGTAGTTGTGTTCTAGAAAGTTACCGAGAACTTTGCTCTAGTAAATACTGAATCATCTCTAGGGGAAATAGCGGGTTAGGTTTCCTGTGTCTCTGCTCACAACATTTTACTGATTTTAAAAGAAGTTTCATTTATTTGAGATGAGAGAGAGAGAGAGAGAGAGAGAGGGAGAACATTCCCATCTACTGTTTTATTTCCCAAATGTCTGCACTGTGGGACCAACTGGGCCAGGCAGAGAGCTGAGAATTCAATTTAGCACTCCCGTGTGAGTGGCAGGAACAGAATCACTTTAGCCTTGACAGCTGCTTCCTTGGTCTGCATTAACAGGAAGCCAGAGTCCAGAGCTGGACCCAGGCATTGAGCTCAGGTACTCTGATACGGAATGCAGCTGTCTCAACCAGTGTCTTAACCACTAGACTAAATGCCTGCCCCTGGTCACAACATTTTAATCGACTGATCGACACATAGCCTTGTCTTGGGTATGCTTCTGTTTAAAATTATCTAACTGAATATACATGGCTGACTCATTCATGCTGAACTCCTGGCCAACACCCTAGGCATGCCTGCCTCCAGGAGGCTTATCTAACACACCTGTTGTCTCTGTAGGCACGTCACGGCGGCCTTGTGTCCAGCAACACTAAGCAGCACCATTTGCAGCAGTGAAATCACCAACAAACACACACACATATGAAAACTGTTAATGCTACATCACAAGCAGGACACTTACCTGCAGGGTCGCCCTGGCCAGCCTTAGCTGGGGACACGATTTTTCACACTCTGCAAGTGTCCATGAAAGGTCCACCAGAGTTGAATTTGCAAGCACAGAACCCACAGACGGTGAGGTTTGATTGTGTTGTAAAGGGAAAAAAACATATGATTGTTCAAGTCTATTCAGGTTACTTAAACACACACACATTAAGTTGGGTATCTTATAAATGAACAAAATTGACCTCTCATTGTTCTGGCAGTTGAGAAATCCAAGTTCAGGGTGGCAGCATGGTTGGGTTCTGGCAAGGGCCCTCTCAGGGGCTGCAGAACCATGAACGTCTGGCTGTGTCCTCGCATGGTGGAGGGGATGAATAAGCTCCCTCTGGCCTCTTTCCTGAGGACAAAGTCCTATTCATGAGGGCTCTCTTTTCCAGATATACTCATTTTCCAAAAGTCCCCCGTCTAATACCATCACCTCTGGGACTTTGGAGGGGCACAATCATTTAGCCCATAGCAAAGCTGGACCAAGAGAAAAGAGGGGTATCACAGGTTATTCCTAGGGCTGGGGCTGGGGCTGGGGCAACAGGGCAGTTTTCCATCTGAGACTTTTACACTCGATGTTGCGTTACAGGTATCAAGGAGGCGGTTAACTGAAGCTTCAGGCTGAGATATAAATTTGAGAATTATCAGCAGATTGATGGCATTTACCACTCAAGAACCAATTTCTTTTTTTAAAATGAATGAATTAATTTATTTGAGAGGTGGTAGAGTTACAGACAGTGAGAGGGAGAGACAGAGAGAGAGAGAGAGGACTTCTATCCGCTGGTTCACTCCCCAGATGGCTGCAACAGCTGGGGCTACGCCAATCCGAAGCCAGGAGCCAGGAGCTTCTTCCAGTTCTCCCATGCGGGTACAGGGGCCCAAGCATTTGGGCCACCTTCCACTGCTTTCCCAGGCCATAAGCAGAGAGCTGGACAAGAACCAGCACCCATATGGGATGCTGGCACCACAGGTGGAGGATTAACCTACTGCGCCACGCACAGCACCGGCCTCAACCAATTTCTGAAATGCAGTTTATTAATGAGAAAGATGATATTAAATAGAGAGTCACGGCCGGCGCCGCGGCTCACTAGGCTAATCCTCCACCTTGCGGCGCCGGCACACCGGGTTCTAGTCCCAGTCGGGGCGCTGGATTCTGTCCCGGTTGCCCCTCTTCCAGGCCAGCTCTCTGCTATGGCCAGGGAGTGCAGTGGAGGATGAACCAGGTGCTTGGGCCCTGCACCCCATGGGAGACCAGGAAAAGCACCTGGCTCCTGGCTCCTGCCATCGGATCAGCGCGGTGCGCCGGCTGCGGCGGCCATTGGAGAGTGAACCAATGGCAAAAGGAAGACCTTTCTCTCTGTCTCTCTCTCTCACTGTCCACTCTGCCTGTCAAAAAAAAAAAAAAAAAATAGAGAGTCACAAGGAGTCTGTGGATAACCTCTGTTGACCATAAAGCAAGGACAATGCCCAACACTGATGGGTTTTAGGATCCCTGCTGCTCAGTCACTGCAGTATGGCCCTGGGCGGAGCAACGGCGACTCGTACACCAGACACTAGCAGGGAGCCGCAGACTCGTGAGCCCAAGCAGCCTCGTGTGCTCCAGCAAACCTCCCAGCACTGAGGACAGGGCTCATTGCAGAGGATTTTGGAATCTCCATGCTTGCATGGAAACTTTATTGAAAGCCACTGTGTTAGGTTGTAGCTTTAGGTGAATGTTTGCCTCCTAGATCAAGCCAAAATGTGATCCCTGGCAAAGGAAACTTTTGATCAGACTAAAAGAACGGAGACGAATAGATGCACTAATGCACCTGCAAGCCAAGTTTTTGAAGGTAAGAAAATGATGTTCCCCTCCTGATAAGATTCTTGTGAAAATTGTCCTCCCCAAAATGGATTTTTTTTCCTTCTACTTAAAAAAAATAAAAAAGATGTTGGTATGGATTCATTCTGAAGTCTTCCCTTGGAATGTTCTGATCTTATTGCTAAACTTTAAAAATCTTGTTAGATTTCGGGGAAGAATAGAAAGTTGTCAGAACTGGGTTTTAGTTCAGCTTCAGCACCAAGTCTCTGTGTGAGATTGGGCTGGTAATGAAACCTCTTGGTGTCTTAGTCTCCTTGTCTGAAACAAAAACACTGCACAAAATGATGGTGTTTTTATTGTGGTAGAAACGCACAACATGAATTTCCCATTATGATCAGTGTTGCTGCCTCACAGACGTGAACCTCTGTGCTGGTAGGCCACTCCCCTCTGCCTCTACCAAGCACCATTCTACTTCCTGTTCCTAGGAATCTGGCTACTTGAAATACCTCGTATACATGGAATCACACAGTGTGAGTCTCTTGATGACTATCTGGCTTTACTTAGGGTGATATCCTAAACAGGTCCGAATTCCTGCTTTTTAAAGCTGACACATTCCCTTGTTGGTATCCACTACATTTTGTTGATCTTCTCATCTACTGATGGAAGGTTGAGTTGCTGTCACTTTGAGGCTCTTGTGAATGATGTTGCTATGAACATGAGTATGCAAATATCTCTTCAGGATTCTGCTTTCAATTCTTTTGAGTGTATGCCCAGAAGTAGAATTGCTGCATCATATGGTAATTTTATTTTTAATTTTTAAAGGGAAACTGCACTGTTTTCCATAGCACTTGCACCATTGTGCAATCCTGCTAAGAGTGCACAAGGATTTCAGTTTTGCTGCATCCTCACCAACAATTATTATTATTATTATTTTTACTATTTAGTTAGATTTTTTAGAGGGGAGGATGGAGGGAAGGGAGAAGAGAGACAGAGTGAGAGAGAGACAGAGCGCTCCCTACCACTGGTTCACTCCAGGTGAAGCCTGGAACTCAATCTAAGTTTCCCAGGTGGGTGGCAGGAACCCAACTATTTGAGCTGACACCTGCTGCCTCCCAGGATTCACATTAGCAGGAAGCTGGAGCAGAAGCAGGGTAGCTGGGACTCAGACCCAGGCATTCTGATACGGAATGAGGGTTCCTAATGAGCAGCTTAACTAGTGAGCCTACCAACCCCCCACTCCGTGTTCTTAATAGTAGACTCTTGGTGGGTATGAGATGATTGATATCCCACTGTGAATTGATTCACATTCTCTTATAATTAGTCATCTTGAGCATATTTTCACATTTTTGTTTCATATTTTTTATTTGGTTACCATTTTATATCATCTTTGAAGAAATGCCTATTCAAATCCTTTGCCCATTTGAAAAAAAAAAAAAAGCTATTTCTTTATTTGGAAGGCAGAATTACAGAGAGAGAGGGAGAGACACACAGGGAGGGATCTTCCATCTGCTGGTTCACTCCCCAAGTGGCCGCATCAGCCAGGGCTGAGGCAGGCTGAATCAGGAGCCAGGAAATTCATCCAAGTCTCCCATCTAGGTGCAGGGGCCCAAGGAGTTGGGCCATCTTCCCTGCTTTCCTAGGCCATTACCAGGGAGCTGGATTGGAAGTGGAGCAGCCAGGACATGGCGTCCATATGAGATGTTGGTGCTGCAGGCAGTGGTTTAGCCCACTGTGCCACAATTCTGCCCCCCTTGCCCATTTTTAAAATTGGATTCTTGGTGAGTTATTTTGTTGTTGAGTTGTAGGAGTTGTTCATATATTTTGACTACTAAACACTTATCATAAGTATAATTTACAAAGATTTCCCCCTATGCCATCAGTTACCTTTTCCAAGTATTGATTATTTCCTTTGGTGAACAAAAGTTTTTTTTGTAAATTTTGATGTAGTTTAATTGTCTCTTCTTGCTTTTGTTGCCTGGGTGTTAGGTATCATATCTATGAAATCACTGCCAAGTGTAATGTCATAAAGCTTCTCTCTATGTTTTCTTCTAATAAATTTATAGTTTTAGATTTTATATTTGTCTTGAATCCTTTTTGGTTCAATTTCTTAAGTGGTGTAAGATAAAGGAAAGACTTCATTATTTTGCATGTTAATATTGAGTTTTCTTGATATCATACATCAAAGATACTATCATCTCCTTCCTGAGTGGGCTTGGCACCCTGACCAGACATCTGAGGATTGAGTTCTAGGCTTGCTATTCTGTTCCACTGGTTAACATCATCTGTCTTTATGCCAGCACCACTTTTTTTTTTTTAATTACTCCAACTTTGTAATATTTTTTGAAATCAGGAAGTGTGACTGTTCTAATTTTGTTCTTTTTCAAAATTGTTGTGGCTATTTGGGACCCCTTGAGATTCCATATTAATTTTAGGATGAATTTTTCTATTTCTGCCAAAAGTGCTTCTGGGATGTTGACAGAGATTAGAATACACGATCTTTGAGGTTCTTGGTAACATTGAAATGACTGAAGGATATGTGCATCACTGAGGTAGAACTTGAAGTCTGGGGCCATCTGCCAGGTACTATCACAGCAATTTGAGGAGAAACACCCTTAGTATTCTTGGGAGATTGATCCACTGTGCTGTGAGTGGATCAGCCAGGACCCCTGCAGGGATGTCAGTCCTGGCCTGTGTCCTTAGGATGCCTGGGATCTGCCTGAGCTACCCTGCAGCCTCCTCCTCCATCGCTGGCAGCTTGCCCACAGCAAACACAGTCTGCACCCAATGTGATGAGTGTGCCTGTCTCCACTGATGCCACAAGGCTTTGAGGAGAGCACCTGCTATTGTCCGGACGGGGTTATCATGGAGTTTTAAATGAGTTGCTGTGGATATTTGAACGCATGTAGTGTTGCATAAACAGAGATATTTTGGGAGTCAGAATATTTGAGTTTAATTTAATTTTATAGATTTTTTGAGTTTAATCTTATTTTTTAACTGCATGCAGCCTCATTAGGACTTCACCTCTGCTCACGCATATGTGATCAGAGAAGAAGGAATGCTGCATTGCTTAACCATTCCTCCTCCTCTGTTCCGCCTGAGATTTCCGACCCTGAGCAAGTAATGCAAGCGCTTCGCGATCACGCTGCAAAGACAGCCACGCTGGCGCCACGTCATCACCCGTCTTTCGTGACTGCCCAGGGTGTGCCTCAGCGCAGCTATGACCAGATCTGGGAGAATATTTACAGCAACGTCCGTCTCTACCAGGTACAGGGGAAGAAACAACCCTTGTGTTGTTCTGTTCAACTTGCTACCCGAGCGTAGCCCTTGGCGATTTCCTTTGAGCGGTTTTCCTGGACCTAGAGAGTCTGATGAGGGGCAGTGAGTCGGTCATACAGCTGGGGTGTGGCATAGCACAGATCTCTCCAGCCTTTAAGGGTCCTGGCTGGCATGTGCCTGCCAGTGACATGCTGTCCTCAGCCAGTGTCCTGGAGGGTTCGGACACAGCCACATTTTTCCTGTGCCATTGCCATTCCACTGGGATGTAGGTGACCCTTCAGGAAGACCTTGTGCTAACATTGGCACATTTAAAAAACATCTGACTTTCCTGCTTCTGGGACCAACATCAGGGACTAGTGGGGAGTGGAGGAGGAAATGGGTAGGGGAGGCACAGTCAGCTGTGGCACCCCCAAACTCCGACTCTGCTTTTAGTTGCCCTGGGCAGTTTGGCCCTGATGTCCTTTATCTGGGTAGTTCTGGTAGAAGTATCAGGTCCATCAGCCAAATCTCTTTTCCTCCTTGGCTGAGAGAATAGGGTGAGTCCAACCCCTGGGGGTCAGTGAGGTGGGGGTTAGGGGGAATTGACCAAGAGGAAGAGAGAAGGAGGAGGAGGAGGTTGTTGGTGGTGTTTCCATGCGCTATGTGGCACAGGGGCCAGGGCGCCGCCAGGGACGTATCCGAGTAGCCGAGGACATGGTCAGCTTGGGGATGGACATGCAGGAGGCAGCTGCAGCCCCGGGCAGGAGGAGAAATGTGCTTTGAAGTCGGGCATGCTGCGCTGTGTGCTTTCCTTGCCCCCAGGGTGGGTCCTCAGGCTCTGACTGTGTCCCTGACACCCACCCAAGGCAGCAGCCTCTACCCCAAAGTCCACATCAACCAGTGGCTATAGACTTGGTCAAAGGCTTGTCACCAAGCTTGAAGGAAAAGTGGATCTTCCGGTGTTTCACCCCCCCCCCCCCCATCACCTGCCCCCTGGGTGATTCCGTCACGGAATAGAGGTGGTTTGGGCTGGTGGCAGAAGTGATCATGAAGTCACAGATTTTCCCCCTAGCGACAGATCTACTTTCCCCAGGAGGAGTCTTCTGTTTAGTTACTGTGAAACAAGAGACGGGAAGCAGGTTTTGAAAGCGGTGAGGACAGAAGGTCTGTGAGGGACCACGGCATTGACATTTTCCAGGCACGCAGGCTGAGCAAGCCTTTCAGTGCTCAAGTTCGCCCAGCCCAGATGGACATGTGCATGGACGCTGTTAGAAGCTGAGTGCATTCAGCCAGTTTGGAAATGGAAGTCATTCCTTGGCTAGCAAGGGATTTTTTTTTCAGAAGATATTGTAAAGAAATGAGGTGGGACATTGTGCCAGGAAATGAGGCCTGCAGAAGTACTTGCACAAGGGCAAGGCCACACGAGTATAATACTTAAGGTTTGCATTTTGCGGATGACAGTTCTGTTTCTGTTAGGTATGCAAGAACGTTCATTTCAGCATTACTCATAATAATAATAATAAAAAGCAATGGCACCAAACAAAAGGTCCACCAGAAAGGAGACTGGTTAAGTAAATGACAGTATATGCATTTCGCAGGGCGGGAAATGTGAGGCAGGGGTGGGGTGGGGAAGGAGGCAACAGAGAATGGAGCACGAGATGAGGGGCTTCATGGTTGAAACTGTGGCAGCCACGAGGTCAGGGTGTGACTGAGTGTAGCACTGCCCCTGGGCACCTGGCGAGCAGAGGAGGTGACCTCGGTAGGGCCACTGTGGCAGTAAAAAGCAGAAGACATATGGTGAGAGCAGGAAGTGAGGGCTCCGGTAGGTGCTGAGTGGCAGAAAGCACCCAGTGCGGGTGACAGCGTGAGACACTGTGGTAGGAGTGGAAGCAGGGATGGTTCCTGCGGCCCCTGGCCCAGCTGCGCAGAGCTGCAGGGGAGCCAGCCCTGCTTGCGGGTATCTCTGTGCTGCTTCCTTTCACTTGTGGTGCAGGCGGGAAGTTGGGGCTGCTGGGATGCAGGCTGGCCTTTCCCCAAACCCTGGTGCAGGTGCACTTTTCCAAAAGCTAAGCTGAGGGGCCGGCACTGTGGCTTAGCCGGTAAGGCCACCACCTGCAGTGCCAGCATTCCATTTGGGCACCAGTTCGAGTCCTGGCTGCTCCACTTCTGATCCAGCTCTCTGCTATGGCCTGGGAAAGCAGTAGAGGATGGCCCAAGTCCTTGGGCCCCTGCACCCATGTGGGAGACCTAGAAGAAGCTCTTGGCTCCTGGCTTCAGATCAGCACAGCTCTGGCCATAGTGGCCAACTGGGGAGTGAACCAGCAGATGGAAGACCTCTCTCTGCCTCTCCCTCTCTCTCTGTGTGTAACTCTGCCTTTCAAATAAATAAATAAATCTTAAAAAAAAAAAAGTTAAGCTGGAAAAGGGAGGAAGGAGAGAAAGAGAGAGGAAAGAGACTGCTTCTTCTGGAAGTTTGCTGACTTGTCAGTGTTGTTCTTAGCACTGACCGAAGGGAGTAAGCTATGAGCATGGTGGATTCGGGTTGACATGTGGTAGAGACTCCATGAAGAGACTTAGCGTATCTGCAGACTTTCATATTCCAGAGATGATACAGAAAACAGATACACAAATCACACAACATATTAGCGCTCATGGAAGCTTTTCAGTTTCTCATTCGTTCAGCGATTATAACATAACGCTGCCTTTGTGCCAGGGATTGTGCTGGGCTCAGGGAGAGAAATGGACCAGACCTTGAGCCTGGGTCCAATATGCACTAACAAATGTGCAAAGAAACAAATCTGTGTCCCTAACATGGGGGTGCTTGGGGCAGAGGACAGTAGGTGGAGAAGGGCACACTATTTTTTTTTTAAAGATTTATTTATTTATTTGAGAAGCAGAATTACAAAGAGAGAGAGAGAGAGAGAGAGAGAGAGAGAGAGAGAGAGTCTTCCATTAGCTGGTTCACTCCCCCAAATGGCCTTAATGGCCAGAGCTGGGCTGATGCGAAGCCAGAAGCCAGAAGTTTCTTCCAGTCTCCCAGGTGGGTACAGGGTCCCAAGGACTTGGACCATCCTCCACTGCTTTCCCAGGCCACAGCAGAGAGTTGGATTAGAAGTGGAGCAACCGGGACTCGAGTTGGTGCCCATATGGGATGCTGGCGCCACAGGCAGAGGCTTAGCCCACTATGTATCGCTCCAGAGGGGCACGCTTTGATAGAGAAAGGTCAGCCTAGGTCTCTTGGTGGGGGACAGAGGGGCATCTGAGCTGAAACTTAGTGAATGAGAAGGAGCCAGCAATGCAACCAGCCTGGAGCAGCAGAAAACAGCACCGGGTTTATGGAAAGAATGTTGAAGGCAATAGCCAGTCTTTCCCACTTTCTGTCACATTTTCCTGCGGGTGTTAATTTGTGACCTTCTCAAGTATTTCTGTCACTTTGTGCTGTATCCCAGTCCCGGAGGTAACAGATAGCCACTCTGGAGGCTGGCTTCCAGTTGGATGAGATTTCGGATGAGGTAAGAAATGTGGCAGCTGGGCGAAGTGGCAGGAATGTGGGGCTGAGTCTTTGGTCGCTGCTTTGCAAGCCCACGGCAGTCAAGTGTGAATTTCAGCATCTGTGTGTCCCTCAGCGTTCTGATTCAGTGACAGCTGGTACCCGGTGGTAGAGAGCGTTCCACAGGGGAGAGCAAGCCGCTGGGGACTGTCCATCTCCCTGGCTCCGAGAGAGAAAATCAGAACATCTTCTGAGCACTTCTCAGGAATGCTGCTCACCATTAACCTTTCTTTCGGGGCAGGGTGGGGGAGGACTTTTAAATTTTTCTTGAAGTTTAGAAAAGGTTGAGATTACGGAGAAGTTGTAAAGGGAGTAGAGAGTTCCCCGTCTACAGCCCACACCGACTTTCTCCTGTTAACATCAAACAGTTGACTGTGCTACGTTCGTCAGGCTGCAGGAACCCAGGCTGGGCCGCTCCTGTGATGCAGCTGCACCTGGAGTGCCCCCCTTATTCCACTAATGTTCTGTTTCATTTTTAAGATTTTTTATTTATTTGAAAGTCAGTTACACAGAGAGAGAAGGAGAGGCAGAGAGACAGACACACAGAGAGAGAGAGAGGTCTTCCATCTGCTGGTTCACTCCCCAATTGGCTGCAATGGCTGGAGTTGGGCTGATCTGAAGCCAGGAGCCAGGAGCTTCTTCCAGGTCTCCCATGTGGGTGCAGAGGCCCAAGGACTTGGGGCATCCTCTACTGCTTTCCCAGACCATAGCAGAGAGCTGGATCAGAAGTGGAGCAGCCAGGACTTGAACTGGCATCCATATGGGATGCCAGCACTGCAGGCAGCAGCTTTACCTGCTATGCCACAGCACCAGCCCCTAATGTTCTGTTTCTGTCCCAGGATCCTACCCAGGAACCAACACTGCATTAATCTCCACCCTACCTCCACACCAGCTGCTTGCTGTGTGACAATTTCTCACTCTTTCCTGGGTTGTCATGATCTTGACAGTCTTTAGGAGTAATGACCAGCAAGCCTGCAGACTGTCCCCTGGTGTGAGCTTGTCTGATGTTTTTCCTGTGGCTACACTGGGGTTTTGAGTTGGAGAAAGAGGAATGCCACAGAGACAAGATGTCCTTCTTGCTGCATCTTTTCAGGGGCCATCAACATGACACCACTGATGATGACAGCTTTGCTCCCTTGGGTAAATTCGTGGTGTTTCTCAGTTTCTCCACTGTAAAATTACTATTTTTATCTTTTTTTTTAAATAATTTTTTAAAGACAACGTTACAGAGAGAGGGAGAGACAGACAGATCTTCCATCTGCTGGTTCACTCCCCAAATGGCCACAACAGCTAGGGCTGGGCCAGGCTGAAGCCAGGAGCCAGGAGCTTCTACCAAGTCTCTCATGTGGGTTCAGGGGCTCAAGGACTTGGGCCATCCTCCACTACTTTCCCAGGCCCATTAGTAGGGAGCTGGATCAGAAGTGGAGCAGCCAGGACTCCAACCAGCACCCACTTATGATGCCGACCCTGCAAGTGGTGACTTAACCCACTAGGCCACAACGCCAACCCCACCATTTTTCCCTCGGAGGAACTTTTTAAAATTCATTTGAAAGCACAAAAGTAGTAAATCAATGTGTCCTCCTTGTAAAACATTTGAACACAAGTGCGAAGGAACTTCCCCTTTGATTTTCCTTGCCCTTGAATACAAGCCCTTCCATCTGCTCAGAGGGAAACACTGTTGCTGTTCCAGGCCTCTTCTCTGCATTTACATGCATATGCTTGTCCCCATAAACCATACACAGGGTAACTTCCTGTTTTAGTTTGCCATAGAAACAATATGTCACACCATGTGCATGTCTTTGGGCAACTCGCTTTTCCACACAACAACATGTCTTGAAGATCTGTCTCTGTTGCTCTTTTTTTTTTTTTTTTTAAACAAACGTTTTGCAATATTTCCTTGTTGACTACAGATTGTGCAGCAACCGTAGCGGGTTGTTGGAGTCAACAGTGGTGCCAACTGAACTTTGTTGTGCCTGTGTTTCTTGAGAGTGGATGCACAGAGTATTTGGGGTAGAGTTTCTGGGTAACAGAATATACAAATTCGAGAGTTTTTCACAGATGCTGCCAAGATGATTTATATCATTCCCCCACCAGCCACTGCACAAGAGTACCTGTCTCCCCAAAAAAGCTATCTCAACATTGAATCCATTTGTCTGATCATTGATGATGCTTGCAATGTTTCCATCACAGTCGGAATTGGCCTCTTCCTTAGCACTAGCACAGAAAGATGGCCCCTCTCCTTTGTAAACACGACTTTCATTCCAGATGTACAAAAGATGTGGATTTGGGGAAGAAAGAACAAATGCCAAATGATCTTACAATTGTTCACGTACAGCTAGCAAGAGGGGACCCTGGTCAAGATGTACCACATCTGTTTGGATATTCCTTTGGAAAAAGAAATTGTTTAACTCTTGTTCTGATCAGAAGAAAGAATGACCGATTTAGGCTTGGATGGAAACTCGCAATCTGCGCTCTGTTGGATCAGTTTACTTTGCCCCAAAGGAATCAGCTCTTTATTAAAATAGCTGTGCACGGTCATTCCACGTTGCTGTCAACCTCTGTGTTTTCTAAGTTCTGGTTTGAGTTGGTCTCTACTGTTTAACTTTATGGAGTGAATGGCAGAAGCTGCTCTCTGCAGGCTGCACAGTCATGGGCCCATGGTAGAGCCATTTCCTCGGCCTTGTCTCTGTCCCCACCAAGGAGGGCCGACAGAGCCAGCCACGGTGCTTCCTGTCTATGTTCCTCCTGCCCTCTGTTTCCAGGAATAAGCAACCAGTGAGCACACATGCATTTTCACTAACGTGGTGGTGTCCACGGGAACTCTAGTATGCACAAAGTACAGGCGAGCAGAAACCCTTTCTTCTGGGTTTCCTCATCCAACTCAGTACATTTATTTTTTTAGGCATTAATTTCATTTATTTCACAGGCACAGAGACACAGAGAGTGCTCATTCCCATCTATCTGCTGGTTCCTTCTCCAAATGCCCACGAGCTGGGTCAGTCCAAAACCAGGAGCTGGGAACTCAATCCAGGCCCCCCATGGCAATGGCAGAGACCCAAGTACCTGAGCCGTCACCTGCTGCCTTCCAGGGTGCGCATTAGTGGGAAGCTGGAGTCGGCAGCAGAGTGAGTCAAACCTAGATCCTCTGATCTGGGATATGGGCGTCCCGGCCAGCAAGTTAACCACCAGGCCAAATGCTCACCCCACATTTACGATTAAAAATGAACCCTTGTTAATGACAATAGAAAATGTTGTGAATTGCAGAAAATAAAACTCACCTGTTGTTGGTGCCACCCCAAATAACACACACTGTTGTTAATATTCCCTCTGTATCCTTCTCACCCTTGTTTCCTGCAAGTTTTGGGGCTGGGAAATGCATGCTAGATTTACTTTTCCTCTAATCATTCCTCCCACCCTATCTCCTAATCCACTGTCCCTGACAACTTCCCGGGGCATGGGGGGGTGGGAGAGATTTGCAGTCAGTGGGACTCTCTGACCTGTCAACATATATGAGTTTAGCCATGCTGTTGAAGACCCAGGCAGAGGCAGAGAAAGGTCAAAGGATTTGGCGACCTGGCAAGAAGGAACACAGACGGCTGCTCACCTGCCTGTCTGCAGCTCCCTTAGGAGAATACACCCATGGGCTTTGGGTACTTCCTGTGCAGTTTTCCTTTTCGGGCTGTGTTTGGTTCTCATTTCCCCGAGGAGGCTGGGCTCGCTCCCTTTCCTCGTCCTGGCCGGCTGTGCCCCTTCCTTCCTTCCTGAAAATCTGCCCGTCAGCCAGTACTTATGTGGCTCGCTCAGTCACTCCTTCAAATGTCCTTCCTCGTAACCTCATGTCACCTTCTGTCCCTTCCCATGTAATTCTGGTCATTTGAGGAGCAGCTGAAAACGTCACCACCCCATCCGAGAAAGGATGCGGGTTAGAGTTTTCCCCCTGGGACCACATCAGACTGTCTGATGGGGAGTTGCAGCCTGAGTTCTTGCCAGGCCGGAAGGCAGGGGGCTCCATAGAGCTCCTCCCCAAGTTCAACAGCATTGTCAACTTGCAGAGGGTGCTCATGCTGTCCTGAGACTGTTTTTAAATAGTAGCAATTTTCTTCACTTTGGGATGATGATCTTCTGTTTCTGTTGTAAGGGGCAGGAGAGCTCCACGCCACCTCCCAGTGTCCTTTCCAGCCCTAGTGCTCTGGGAAGTTTGCCCAGAAATGCTCTGATGTGCACACTGACCTGCAGCAGGCGGGAGCTGACTTTATCCGCAGGCAGAACGGCCAACCTGTAGCCCTCTCACCTGTTCTTTCTAACATCCCTGTCAAAATCACCCTGTCCTGCTTCCTGCAGTGGAACCTGATGACCTACTGTAGTGTCTGGGGAACTGTATTTTTTTTTTTAAGATTTATTTACTTATCTGAAAGTCAGAGTTACCCAGAGAGAGAAGGAAAGACAGAGACAGAGAGAGAGAGAGAGCGAGAGAGAGAGAGAGGGAGGTCTTCCATTTGCTGGTTCACTCCCTAACTGGCCACACCAGCCGGAGCTGTGCTGATCTGAAGCCAGGAGCCAGGAGCTTCTTCCAGGTCTCCCATTTGGGTTCAGGGGCCCAAGGAGTTGGACCACCTTCTACTGATTTCCTAGGCTATAGCAGAGAGCTGGATGGGACATGGAGCAGCCAGGACTTGAACCGGCGCCCATGTGGGATGCCAGCACTGCAGGCGGCAGATTAACCCACTACGCCAGAGCACCGGCCCCAAGACTGTATTTTTAACATTCGGCTGGGCTGTTGACCTTGGAAAGATAAAATCACCCAGGGTTGCAGAAGATGGGAATCTAGTCCAGAGCCCGTGTGGCAGCTGCGTTCCAGGGTGTCCTGGGGGGTGGGGGTGGGGACTCAGCTCCATCTCTCCTGGGGCCCAGCAGATGCAGCCTCCACACGTTGTCACAACAGCTTATCATCGTTTTCCTATGTCACGCCAAGTTGCAAGCATGGAAATAGGCTCGAGACTTTCAACTAAATCATATCACTAAGGAGCAGATGGTTCTAATGCATTGATCTCTGTCTACATAGAACAAGTCCAGACTAGAGAGGTTTGGGGTTCCAAACATACACATTCTTGAAAAAAAAAAAAAAAAAGTGTGTATCCACCTTTTGTAAAGCGAATCCCATAAAAGGGGGTGGCTGCTACTTAAGAAATGTGAATTCTTCCATCAAACAAAGTCTTGGTAAGTAAACAGTGACCCCTCATTTATAGTATAAATCTGGATTTTCATGTATTTATTTATTTGAGCAGCAGAGAGACAGAGGGACAGGCAAGCACACACACAGAGCTCCCATCTGCTGATTCACTCCTCAGATTCCTACAATGGCATTTGGGTCAGGCACCGGCCAGAACCCAGAACTCAACGTAGGTCTCCCACATGGGTGGCAGAAGCCCAAGAAACCCAACTACTCGAGCCATCACCACACCTCCCCAAGTGTACTTTAGCAGGACTCTGGAATTGGAAGCACAGCCAGGAATTGAACCCAGGTGCTCTGATAGCAGATATGGGCAGTCCAACCCTGCCAACATCTCACCCACTGGGTCAGACTCCTGCCCCAGCATCCAGATTTTCCTATGTCAGCGTGAAATGCGTCAAGATGCTCTTCTACTTATTCGTCTAAATTTGCTCTGGCCCATGAGGTTTAATTTTGCAATGACTCAACTATGATTTGTTAATAATACTGCAAGTGCTTATGTAATTAAACTAATGCTAATGTTTTGACAGAATGGAAACACAAAGGATGATGACCTTTCTGTGGAACAAAATGAAAATGAACTAGCTCAAAGGAGTCCCAGCCAATGGACTGATAGGCCTGTCAAGCAGAGAGAAGAGACAGGGTAAAATTAAATCATTTTATTGGTGACTAGGGGAAATGGAGTAGAACGCCGGGGGAAAGTTGAGTGACTGATTAATATGTAGCTTCCATGTTAACTCAAATACATTTGAAGTCAGAATGCAAGCAAGGCTGTTAAAACAGGTCAGACAACTAAATTAATGTTTCACTCTAAGACTGGGTCTTTAACAAGAGTAATTGCTAAGAGAAATGTCTTGTTGTATTTCTAGAGTGATGATTTTCCCTCCAGTGCATTTGTGAAGGGCAGCTGTTGTGAAATGGTCTTGCATTTGTGTAGGTGAACTTTTTGAACCGCTTTGAGATGCAAGGTCTGTGTTATCTTTCTCCTGCCTGCTCAAGGTACAACTACGCAATGACCCTACAACTGCTGGGCCTGGATGATGAGGGGGCTGAGCCCGGTGCACGGGATCCTGCCCTGATGAGAGGGGCCTACTTGTCCTTTCTGTATCTGCGCCACCTGCGGATCAGGGAGCTGCAGGTGGGTGGCCCCCCACACTGGTTTTAAGCACCTGGAATGTCTGGTTGTCTGTTTTCTGTTGCTAGAACAGAATGCCTGAGGCTGGGTAATTTGTAAAGAAAGGAGGTTTATTTATAAGCTCACAGCCTGAGAGTGTCAAGGGCATGGTAGGGCATTGGCTTGGCGCTGCTGAGGGCCTCACAGGCAATGGCATCGGCATATCACCCACAGTGGGAGTGTGTGCAACAGGAAGAGATGACATGGCGATACAGGAAGCCAGACACAGGTTCAGGGAGCAGTTTCACTGTTTGATAGCAACTCACTCTCGAGGGAACTAACCAGGGTCCATGAGGACTGCATTAATCCCTTCCAAGGGCAGCACCTCCACCTCCCCCAGGCCCCACCGTGTGAAGGGTCTACTGCCTCTCACCTTAACACACTGGGGACCAAGCTTCCAAGACGCAACACCCTGGGGGACAAACCATATCCCAAGATCAGGTGCTTGCCTGCTATTCCAGTGCAATGCGTTTCTATACTTTTGCTCTTTGTTCTGAGGTTTCCCATGAACTCAGCCCCTTTCTGGAGTGGTGCACTCCTCTCTCCACGGCAGGGGTGACCTGCCACCCTTGAGGCCCCCATCCAGCGTTGCTCTGTAGGCTGGGACGAGGCGTAGGGCAGCATCCTGATTCTGTTCCTTCTCTGTTTCAGCGCATCTGCTTGGGAATTCTGAACTATTTCAGATCCGTGGAGCGAACCTTGACCATCAACACTTCAGGCCTTACTGTGGCTTCAGGGGACATGGTCCCTACCATGGAAGACAGTTGCTGGGCAAACGTGGCCAAAGAAGGCTTGGGCGCCTCGCAAGGCCTCGGGTCCTCTGCCGAGCACAAGGTGAGGTATTCTGTCAGTTTTTCTTCCTTGATGAGTCCCACCTCCCAAGCCATTTTTTTCCTAACACCTGGAATACCAACTAATATGTGGTGGCACACGGGCTAGTGCTAGTGGCCGCCTCTTTCTCATTTTTAAGATCTATTTCTTTTCTTTAAAAGCACAGTTCACAGAGAGAGAGAGGGGGAGGGAGAGAGGGGAGAGAGAGAGAGAGAGAGAGAGAGAGAGACCTGGAGCCAGGAGCTTCTTTCTGGTCTCCCATATGGGAGCAGGGAGGGAGAGGGAGAGGGAGAGGGAGAGGGAGAGGGAGAGGGAGAGGGAGAGGGAGAGAGACCTGGAGCCAGGAGCTTCTTTCTGGTCTCCCATATGGGAGCAGAGGCCCAAACACTTGGGACTCTTCCACTGCTTTCCCAGGTGCACTAGCAGGAAGCTGGATCAGAAGTGGAACAGCTGGAGCTTGAACTGATGCCCATATGGGATGCCGGTGCTGTAGGCAGCAGCTTAATCTGCAATATCACAGTGTCGGCCCTGATGGGGTGTTCTTAGCAAAAAGGCTTTCTAAAAAATTATAGAGGGGTGGACACTTGGCCTAGCAGTGAAATGGCCAGTTAACAGGACTGCATTGCATGTGGAAGTACCTGGGTTTGAACCTTCCTCCAGCTGCTGATTCCGGCTCCCTCCCAATGAGGACCCTGGCTGATGTCATGAGGTCCTGCCATCCACACAGGAGACCTGGATTGAGTTCTACCCAGCGCTGGCTGTCGTAGGCATTTGGGAAGTGAACAAGTGCATGGGAACTAATGAATTCTGTCTGCACCACGCCACCCCACCGATCTCTGTGCCTCTCAAAAGTAAATATAAACTTAACACGGAAGCAAAAGGGGAAATGGCTTTTTTAGCCACAATAAAATGCCGTGTCCATCTTATAGTGGGACACAGGAAGAAAGCACTCCGGGGGCCGCAGTAGGCAGGAAAACATTTCAGCTGCTGGTCCGTTGACTTCATAGTGAAGGGAGTGTGAGGGGCCCTTTCTGTTGTCCCAGCCTGAGAAGCAGCTGCCCCGACAGACAGGCCCTCGTGAGACCTTGGCATTGCCACAGGGACCTTGTTCTGTCTTCCAAGCCCGAATGAGAAAAACAAAGGCAGAAAAAATGGAAAGAGATCAACAATAAGAAGTCATTTATTCTGCCAACAACCAGTTTGTCCTTTGACGCTTTTGATGTCTCTTGAACATATTTTTTTTTAACTTTTGTTTAATGAATATAAATTTCCAAAGTACAGCTTGTGGATTACAATGGCTCCCCCCCCATAACTTCCCTCCCACCCGCAACCCTCCCCTCTCCCGCTCCCTCTCCTCCTCCATTCACATCAAGATTCATTTTCAATTCTCTTTATATACAGAAGATCAGTTTCCATTCACATCAAGATTCATTTTCTATTCTCTTTATATACAGAAGATCAGTTTAGCATACATTTAGTAAAGATTTCAACAGTTTGCTCCCACACAGAAACATAAAGTGAAAAATACTGTTTGAGTACTAGTTATAGCATTAAATCTCAATGTATAGCACACTAAGGACAGAGATCCTACATGAGGAGTAAGTGCACAGTGACTCCTGATGTTGACTTAACAAATTGACACTCTTGTTTATGGCCTCAGTAATCACCCTAGGCTCTTGTCATGAGCTGCCAAGGCTAGAGAAGCCCCCTGAGTTCACCGACTCTGATCATATTTAGACAAGGCCATGGTCAAAGTGGAAGTTCTCTCCTCCCTTCAGAGAAAGGTACCTCCTTCTCTGATGACCCATTCTTTTTTTTTAAAAACTTTTATTTAATGAATATAAATTTCCAAAGTATGGCTTATGGATTACAATGGTTTCCCCCCATAACGTGCCTCCCACCCTCAACCCTCCCCTTTCCCACTCCCTCTCCCCTTCCAATCACATCAAGATTCATTTTCGATTCTCTTTATATACAGAAGATCAGTTTAGCATACATTAAGTAAAGATTACAACAGTTTGCTCCCACACAGACACATAAAGTGAAAAATAGGCCGGCACCGCGGCTCACTAGGCTAATCCTCTGCCTTGTGGCGCTGGCACTCTGGGTTCTAGTCCCGGTCGGGGCATCGGATTCTGTCCCGGTTGCCCCTCTTCCAGGCCAGCTCTCTGCTGTGGCCAGGGAGTGCAGTGGAGGATGGCCCAGGTGCTTGGGCCCTGCACCCCATGGGAGACCAGGATAAGTACCTGGCTCCTGCCATCGGATCAGCACGGTGCGCCGGCCGCAGCGCGCCAGGGCTGCAGCGGCCATTGGAGGGTGAACCAACGGCAAAAGGAAGACCTTTCTCTCTGTCTTTCTCTCTCACTGTCCACTCTGCCTGTCAAAAAAAAAAAAAGTGAAAAATAATAGATGATTTTTTAAATGATGATGAAATCAGATCAGACCTATTGTGATGACCCATTCGTTCCACTGGGATCTCACTCGTGGAGATCTTTCATTTAGTGTTTTTTTTTTTTTTTTTTTTTTTTTTTTTTTGCCCCCAGAGTGTGGGAGCAAACCGGACTAGACTGAGTTACTGGAATTAAGACTTATTCTATGCATCTGCTCTCCCACAATATGGCACTGGGAGAGAAGTAAACAGCTTCCGCACAGCTGCCTCCAGTTCAACCAATAAACTGTAGGACTTGCTACTGATTGGAGGAGAGCGTGTGGGCAGCCGAGTTAGGATTGGCGGAGGAGGACTATAAAGGAGGAGAGAGACGGCATTCACCAGGAACATCTAAGGGGAACACCTGTGCAGCCCCCAGAGAGCCGGCCGGCGGTGTGCCGCTCCCCTGCGGAAGTGGGGAATGTGGCCAGGGGGAACTGCCCTTCCACGGAGGTGGAAGGGATAGTAGCCAACCCGGGAAGAACCAACAGCAAACCCGGGGAGGGCTGAGCAGACGAAAGAACAGCGCAGGGTCCTGTGTCGTTCCTCCACGAAGAGGGGGAGCGACATAATGGTGCCGTGACTCGGGTATGAAGCCTAGGCAGGGTTTAGTGTCGTTCCTCCATGAAGAGGGGGAGCGACACCAGAGTGTCTTGGTTTCCATGCCTGAAATACTCTCATGGGCATTTCAGCCAGATCCACATGCCTTAAGGGCTGATTATGAGGCCAGAGTGCTGTTAGGACATTTGCCATTCTATGGGTCTGCTGAGTATCTCACTTCCCATGTTGGATCATTCTCTCCCTTTTTGATTCTATCAGCTAGTATTTGCAGACACTATTCTTGTTTATATGATCCCTTTGGTTCTTAGTCCTATCATTATGATCAATTGTGAACAGAAATTGATCACTGGGACTAGTGAGATGGCATTGGTACATGCCACCTTGATGGGATTGAATTGGAATCCCCTGGTATGTTTCTAACTCTACCATTTGAGGTAAGTCAGCTTGAGCATGTCCCAAATGGCACATCTCTTCCCTCTCTTATTACCACTCTTATATTTAACAGCGATCACTTTTCAGTTAAGTTTCAGCACTTAAGAAGAATTGTGTATTGATTACAGTATTCAACCAAAAGTATTAAGTAGAACAAACAAACAAAAAAATACCAAGAGGGATAACATATTAAGTTGTTCGTCAACAGTCAGGGTGAAGACTGATCAAGTCACCGTTTCTCATAGTGATCATTTCACTTTAACAGGTTTCCTTTTTGGTGCTCAGTTAGTTGTCACCTATCAAGGAGAACAAGTGGTATTTGTCCCTTTGGGATTGGCTCATTTCACACAACATAATGTTTTCCAAATTCCTAACAGGGATCACTTTTCAGTTAAAATGTAAACACCTAAGAATAATTGTGTGTTAATCACAGAGTTCAACCAACGGTACTAGAACAAAAAAGAAAATACTAAAATGGATAAAGTATTACATTGTACATCAACCTGACGGTTGAACATATTTTTTATACAGTGTATAGAAGTTAAACACTGCCTGACAAAAGACCAATGAGACAAATGTGTTAAGTTCCTTTCTTCTTTTTTTAAAGAAATTTATTTATTTATTTGAAAGTCAGAGTTACACAGAGAGAGAAGGAGAGGCAGAGAGAGAGAGAGAGAAAGAGAGGTCTTCCATCCACTGGTTCACTCCCCAATTGGCTGCAAAGGCCAGAGTTGCACCAATCTGAAGCCAGGAGCCAGGAGCTTCTTCCAGGTCTCCCACGTGGGTGCAGGGGCCCAGGGACTTGGGCCATCTTCTACTGCTTTCCCAGGCCATAGCAGAGAGCTGGATCGGAAGTGGAGCAGCCAGGACCAAAACCAGCACCCATATGGGATGCCAGTATTTCAGGCCAGGACGTTAACCTGCTGTGCCACAGCACCAGCCCCATGCTCCTTTCTTTGAGAACAAGTTGCAAGTGCCTTCATTTTAAGACTATTGTTGACACTTTTGCAATATTTTTGTCACTGTCTCTAGAAAGTTTATTCCTCAATAAGAGCTTAATATGAATTTTATCTTCTTGAAAGATGCTAGATTGCCAATATGAAAAATATTTAGCCACTAGATCAATCCAATTCTAACCTGGTGTGGCCCCTCTCCTGCTGGTCATGCCTGGAGCAGCAGTGTCCTGTAGAAATACAATGTGTGCCACATACATAATTCAAGGATTTAGTAGATACATTTTTAAAAGTATAAGGGAACATATGAAATTAATGTTAATAATGTAACCAAATTTATGCAAGATAGCACCCTTTCCTTATGTAATCAGTATTAAGAAGCCAATTATGCAGTATATGTTTTTGTCAAAAGTCTTCAAAATCTGGGGTGTATATATATTTATATATATAATTTTCATTTATTTATTTGAGACACAGAGAAAGACACACAAAGAGACTCCCATCCACTAATTCACTCCCAAAATACCTACAATGGCTGGCACTGGGAACTCAGTCCGGTTGCCCACATTGGTGGCAGGAACCCAATCACTTTGTCCATTGCCACTGCTTCCCAGGGTCCTCGTTAGCAG